GCAAATGTGCATGTAATCGCAGAGAGAGCGAATGCCTCGAACCAAGTGTCAAAGTGGGTCGTGTGCGCAAATTCTGGTTATGTGCAGCACAATTTTTCACCACACACTCCCACGACACAGAGAGTGAGAGAGGAAACTACAAAAACGAACCCGAAAACCGTGATCGAATTATCGAAGTGATAAGTGGTGAACGAGGCAACATGAGGAAGGTAACGCATAAATGCGTTCGAAACCGCTACCTAGCGTTTCCCAGGATTTAACAAAAACAAAAATGAATATTCGTCGGAGTCATGATGTATCAGAACCGATGTAACGCAATATCGATGTTTAACGCTTGTTTAATTTTCTTTGCTCAATTCAAATATAACCATGTTAAGTTGTGACACGTACGCGCGCGTTGTAAGGAATAGCAGCAAAACTTGAGGACAATCGATGGTTCATGATGGAAGAAGGGTATACATTTTTTTTAAAAATAACCCGTGGCCATTTAACCACTGGTCATTTTTAAAAGGGCGGTATGTTGTATCCTAGCCCTTCTTCCATAATTGAGATTAATAATATTTGATGATTTTTATATATTATCTTTTTACTTGTTTTTTTTAATGAGTGAAACACACCAAAGCGCACCAAACTGCAAAACACCAGGTGTTGTTAAGTAATGAACGAGAGGAGGGCTAGGATGACAGAATTGCAACCTTGCTTCAAGGCAAAGGCAGTGAAAGGAAGCAGAGGCGCCCTTGTCTAAGTCATAACCACAGAAAGCCAGGAATCATCACTGATTGTGTGTTAGGGATTCCGAGCTAATTAGAACACGTGCACACAGAAAGGGAGGTAGAAGCACGCCTTGTTCTCCTGCAGCTGAGGAAACATAGATAAACCCAAGAAGGCCTTGGACCTGAAATGAAGAATAACATTCCCAGAGCAGAAGGTTGGAGGGCCACAGAGAGCTGATTTAAAAAAAATGTTGTATATCTCTCAAGGCGGGCAGACCCAGCTAAATAACACGGCTGCGGGGGTCACCAGAAGTTCGCGTTCGCCTAGTTAAGACAAAAAGCTCAATTATTCTGTATTGCTATTAAAGTAACGTTAAAGTCGGAATTTAACAACAGGGTAGGCTAAAGTTTGATATTCACACCCACTCCAATTAAACCAGGTCACAAGTACGCCTACTGAACCATCACCATCATTAAGTCAATATGAAATGTTATTTCCATACTTTAATGCTTTCTATACAACTCGACCCGAAGCATATGCATGAAAAGACAAAAGTAAAACTTATGAAAAGCCAGGATAACGGGATGAATCACCACCAGGTCGAATATAAATACATAATAAAAAACGATGTTAAACCCAGGGTCGGAGAGAAAGGGAGATCCCGGCCGTCTTTGTATCCCCGCAGCGCGGGATAGGAGTGTGTATACGCTCGGGGAAACACCTACACTTGAGTCAAGCACCACGATGGGAAACGACAGACCTTAGGTTACATACAGAATCATAACTGTGAAATAGTAAGGGACAAATGTTAACTTAAAACTTTTAACCATTTCTTTGTGCGCCGGGTCGGAGAGAGTGTTGCCCCTCCCTCCAGGTTGTGCAACACGAACAAAGACGCCTATGAGACATTTGTAACGTCTGTGTTTTGGGTTCATGAAGAAGGCCAGACAAGAGATAATATTGCACCCAGACAGAGAGACGACCTCGAGGCAATTTGTAACATCTGATTGTTTGCTCGTGGGTTTATGGAGGGAGTGTGACAACGAATATACCGTCAGTGATGCACACAAGGACACACGGACATACGGACAGACACATGGACACACCTGCCTACGGACAGATCCTGACACAGCAAAAATCGGAAGAAGCCCCGCCTTGTGGGCGGGATCCAGGGGGAATTTTCGGCATAAAGTAAAGGATCCTGAGCATTGGAAATCAGTGCGACGGGAGGGTCGACTCAGGAGGAGTGCGACCAGTGGGTCCACTCGGGAGTGCGACGGGAGGGTCCACTCAGAAGCTCGACCGGGAGGGTCGACTCAGGAACGAGTGCGACGGGAGGGTCCACTCAGAAGCTCGACCGGGAGGGTCGACTCAGGAACGAGTGTGACGAGAGGGTCCACTCAGGAGCGCGACCGGGGGAGTCGGCTCAGGAGGAGTGCGACCAGTGGGTCCACTCAGGAGTGCGACCAGAGAGTCGACTCAGGAGCGAGGGCGACCAGCGGGTCGACCCAGGAGCGAGCTCGACCGGGAGGGTCGACTCAGGAGCGAGCTGCGACCAGCGGGTCGGCTCGACTCATCTTCAGCTCGTCAATCTCTGCTGCCGCCGGAGATCTCTGCTGCCGCCGGAGTGGTGATCGTTGCGGTTTGGCGACGATCCAGCGCTGCACGCTACGAGCGAGTTGTGGGCGCCACCTACCGACCGGGTTCCGAACTGCGACAGCGTATCAACAGCCATCCGAACCAATTCGCCACGGGATCGACTGATACGTATGACGCGCACCGCCCCCTCACCACACGACCACCAGGCGTCTGTTTGACCTAAAGAATCGACTCCGAACACTGACTATTCAAGACAACTCTTACCACTCAAAAACACTCGAACCCATAAGCCATCCGTGGCTGGAAAGTATCACAACGAGACCGAGTGATGGCCCTCCGTCGTTTATAAGAGTATTCTTAAATTTTATCTTTAATATTTAGTGGGCTGTACTCTTAATCGCATAAATTCCCAACAGATCCATCAATACGAACTGATTCTTGGCACCTCCTTCCGCCGAGCCACGCTCACGTGGGGAGTGGTGGCCCACCGGATCCTTATCAGGTGATCTGGTCCCCAATTAGTAAACTTGGTATAAGATAACAATCTTCGGAAAAGGAGCACCGTCGCAGGCCCTTACTCCGAGCCGTTCTGAGATAACCTGCCGATGTATCTGTTGAGATTGGTGCCTTTAAGAATAATAACTGTTTTTGATTGTGTTTTTTTTTATCGCCGTATAATCTTTCAAGTATCTTTCAGTCATAATCGCCGCACGTACTCGCATCCTCTACAGAATATTCAACTGTTCCGTGACCCAAGGTGCTAACAACGTGATAAGGGTTGCGTATGATCAATAAGGAGTGCGGTACTGCGTGAACAATATTGAGTATAATCATTCATTAACGTTAAGGTTTCCTTCTCTCACTAACAACCATCGCGTTATGCGGGATCCATGTGCCGTTGTCAAAGTGAAATCAGACAATCGTTGATGATACTGTATTGATGCCGTATTGACGTTCCGGGATTGAGAGTTCGCATACTATATCATAGTTAAGGTTGAATTAGTAATAAATTGATTAATACAGAAGTGGTTGTGTGATTCTTTCCTGAAATCTATGCATAAGATCTGCTTCTGCGTTGAGATTTGAACTTGGTGACCTTAATAAACACACTTATACATACTCAGTAAATGTTAAAGCGATAACGGGGTGAACCGGGGTCTGGTTATCATAACGACTTGCATTATCATAATTACACCCACTCGCATAATTAATACGATTACCTCTCGAATTGGCATAATTAAAATGTGCGTAATTACATAAATTAACATATTTTCGGATAATTACACATTTGGCCAGATTTCATTTAATTATTATTATTTTCACTGAATATTCATAACCCACATATACAACATAATAATTTCACCCACGCACGCATACAACATAACAAATTTTCTCTTCCCAACATATACAACACACCCTACATACTATAGAGTCAGTAGTATCTACTACACACCATACATACAATAGAGTCAGTAGTATCTACTACACACCCTACATACAATAGTCAGTAGTATCTACTACACACCCTACATACAATAGAGTCAGTAGTATCTACTACACACCCGACATACAATAGAGTCAGCAGTATCTACTACACACCCTACATACAATAGAGTCAGTAGTATCTACTACACACCCTACATACAATAGTGTCAGTAGTATCTACTACACACCCTACATACTATAGAGCCAGCAGTGTCTACTACACACCCTACACACAATAAAGTCAGTAGTATCTACTACACACCCTACACACTATAGAGTCAGTAGTATCTGCAGACATTTGGAGGGGACGATGCGCCGAGAAGCCTTCTGCAGGAGCTATACATTAAGGCGGCCATATGCTGTCGAAATTCTAGTGACTTAAACGGTGTGCGTTCATTTATTTGCGAATTTGCATCAAGAGCTGGCGTTTTGCAGGTCATATGACTCCGCAGTCTGCACTGCGGTATCGTCAGCACGTTGACTGCATTACTGGTGGTGTTACAGATGTATTTGAATTCTTTATGCCACTTTAGGGGAGACATTTCTCTGGAATAGAAACAAAGAAAGTACTCTAGTAGGGCCTCCTCCACTTTTGCCAGCACCACAAGGTACAAATGATGACGTCAGAGATCAGTCGATGTTGTCTAGAGTGGATAAGAGTTGGAGGCACTACCTCGCTGGCATGAAGAAGGGCCATTGTCCAAAACGTCGCCTATTATAAACGTTTCCGATGAAGGCCACAACACAGTGTTGTGGACAAAGATTCTGAGTCTTTTTGTTATTTCGTTTTGGGCACCACTGCCAATGCAGTAGTATCACACAATACTTCCCTTTTTTCATATGAATCATTCTCATTTGTCCACAGAAATTGGACATTTTCAGGACCCCTTCCTGATATGTTAAATGTTTAGCCAGTCCTTTTCGAGATACCCACAAGAACCCATGCTTAAAAGAGGATGACACAACCACCACACACATAGCCTGTAGACATGTTTACAAACTCTCCTGATTCTCTACAGGAACCTTTTTGTTATTGCATTGTGCCAGGAAATAGTTCTCAAAAGAAATAAACAATTATAATTCACATCCCTGTATATGATGCACCAGCCAGACCTGTACAATTCCACATTTGAGACATACACCACCAACACACTCGGACATGTATGGTGCAGCACTCATCTTGTCAACAGGAAGCTACATACCCAGAATAATGGAGGCCAGCAATATATGTAGGCCGAACATCATGGTCACGATGAAATCCAAAGTAAAGAGTGACGCTGTTAAGACACAGACACACACAGGGCAGAGAGGATTTCAACAAAACACGACCATGGAATGCTGCTCACAGAGACAATAAACTTGTAAACTGGGATTGTTTCCAGATGCTGCCGTGGTGTGATGGTTTGTGCACTGGACTTGCAACTCAGAGGCCGCCTGTTCAATCTCCCGCAGTGCAAGTTTCTTCAAGCCTCTGTCCACCTAGCAGTTATAGATGGGAACGCCACAGTTGCATGTAGTGGGGGAAAAGTATGGGTAGGTTTCACCTCTTTCAAGTCGTCTGCCTAGCATGGAAGACTAGACCACATATCCTCTAGAAGGGGCTGTCTAGAGGAGGCCCTTCTGCCAGAAGTGACTTGACCCAGTGATGTTGAGACAACTTTAACCTCACGGGTTCACCAATGGCTCGTAGGTTGTGACATTCGACACCAGGCTACTGACCGAGTGTGTCTCCTTAAACGAAATACCGTTTTCTAAAGGCGCATGATGAAGTTAAGCTGGCTCAAACTGAGTGGTAACATTATCTGTATTAAGTATGTTGTTTATTTTAAACACAGTAAAAACACCCTTCGGGACCTGTTTCATGAGTTAATAACTAAAATAGATATAACGACAGATTAAATCGATTAACAAATTAACTGCTGGTCGGAATTAGATCAAATGTCAATGATAACTTCGCTAAAATAGTGGCACAGTGATCAGCGAACCGTGCTATGAACCCAAGCGAATCGCGTTCGATTCCCGATCAGGGCTAACAAACACCACGGACGAGAGAAACATTGGCCAAGTGTCCTGTCGCCTCCCACACCTCCATTCACCACCACGCATGTAGCACCTTAACATCTGCAGTGAGCAGATGAACAATTATTGCCCGTGTCGTAGGTCTCTGAGACCCGGCGACCCCTTGGATGATGGCAGCGGCATAAGTGAGGGCTGCATCCCACGCCTAAAGCGTGATACAGCCGCAGCAGCCGCAGCATCTCCAACATCACATTCTACTTGGCATCGTCTCGCACAGGCAGAAACAGTGCGCCCAACAACTTCACCATTGTCACCTACGATTCAACATATCGAAGGTGACGTTTCGGGCAATGGTCCATCTATCGTGGCCGAGAGGCGGCGGGCGTGCATTACGCGTGGCTGATGCACAGCAGGACGCATCGTTCGGCTGCGCGTGGAATCGACGAACGGGCAGAGGAGGCGGCTTGTCAGTGGCTGCCGAGTGGTTGATCCGAGCAGAGCGAACTCTTCGTTCACACGGCAGGCGTTGGGGGGGGGGGGGTGCCAAATTATCATCGTAGCAAAAGTAGCTACATGTGTAGTAGCTACATGTGTAGTAGCTACATGTGTAGTAGCTACACGTGTAGTAGCTACACGTGTAGTAGCTACTACACGTGTAGTAGCTACACGTGTAGTAGCTACGGGCCCCGCACTTTCAAGGGCCCCGCGCTAAATGCTTTCAAGCTATCAATTCCGGCTCAGTGATTCTACACTTGCTCTATTACTATAGTACTATACCGGGTTAGAATAACTGGGTGTTTAAGGTTAGCAATTTGTCGTATTACATGGTTGTATAGCAAATAAAAAAATACAATTACTTTACTGTGCAAGTAAAACATTTGTATTTTAAAATTTATGTTTTTATAATTTAGGGTCCCTTCATAACAACATTTGCTACAGGCCCCGCACCGAGCTTCATCCGTGCAATTCGCGCGACTCACTTTGTTGGTCTCGACCAGGTGGGGAGGGATAACCTGCGGCTCCAGAGCCACATGCGGACTGTCTAGTGACGCTGTAGGATTCAGGACCACCACCGTCTCGCATTTACACACACACGTATATATTGCGGCTCTTGAAATATTTTGACTTTTTAAATGGAATTTGGGAAACAAAAAATGCCTCTTCTTGTTATTTTAGTTGCGGCCCCCTTGGTCTCGACTGATCCCCGTGGCCTCGGCTCGCTTATCGTGCCCCCTCTCTGCGTGGCATTTCTTTGTTGACGAGCATCTCTTCGTTAGAACCCAAGCTCAACTCCACCCCATCCACCCACCCACCCAGCCCGCTCGCTCCTTAAACAATGCGTCCCCTGCAGCGGTGCCGGAAAACGCTTACCTGGATTTCCCCCCCAAAACGTGGAGGGAATTGAAGAGCAGTCGAGGGATTCGTCGCGCGCGGGTCCGAGGCGCAAGCTCGTCCGCGTGCCAGTGTAAGCGTCTCGTGTGTTTATAACATCCGTTCTCGAGGCTCAAGCTCAGCGATTTGGCCCGTTTAAGTCTCCTCCCCGTGCATATGTGGAACACATGTCGTGAGCAAGATTCTCCCCCCCCCCACTCGCTGAGACCCCCCCCCCCACTATTAGTTAACTGGAGGAGAAAGAGAGACGGAAAAAATGCAGTGCGTTCAGGAAAACTTTGCAAACGGATGCTGAGATGTAAAAGATGCACACACCAACAACAGCCAGCCATTCGCCAATACGTGGCGGGGACGTCACCAGCGCGCTTGTGCCAGGCTAGGTGCAATGTTGAGGCCACGTGGAGTGTCGAAGGCTTGCTGCTGACAGGAGGTCACGGTAAAGACCCAGGTACCGTGGGTTGACTGACTGAGATGGTTTGGCAGATGCACACCAGCTGTGCTCCCCACTGTGCGAACTTACCGAGCGTCGCTCCTCTGCCCTCCGTTGTTGTTGGAGGGCCACTTGGCCCAGCTGCTTACTGGTCTTCGGAAAGTACACTCAGCTCCACGTCCTCCTGTACACCGCATCGCTCCATCTCTTCTCTAGAGCGTGCCACGCCCGTTTAGCACCCTCGATCCGGCCGAACAAAAGCTGTTTGGGCATGCGGTGGCTGGACATGCGGGCGACGTGACTCAGCCACCGCAGCCTTGCCAGCCGGATTGTATCACCGATGCGACTTCGTCCAAATCTCTCACAAATCTGCGAGCTCCTCACACGATCCAGCCTAGTTAAACCCAGAATAGATTTTAGGCAGGCCAGCCTGAATGCTTTAAACCGGCGCAGATGTTCCTTCAGATGGGTCCATGTTTATCAAGCACAGAGAGGGAGGGCACGACTGTGGCCTAGAAGACCCGGAGCTTCGTATGGAGCGATAGGCCAGGTAGCTTCCACACGGCGTTACGCAGCTGATGGAAAGATAATCCAGCTCGACTGATTTGGAATGAGACGTCTGCTGCCAAACCGAAACTCGTCATGAGCACACTCTCCAGGTATGAGAACACCTGCACTCTCTCTACAACTGCCCCATCACTCGTGGGGAGTTGAGGCGGCGGAATGTTTAAACTGTCTTGCAAATATGTCTGATTTTAATGACATTTTCAGGGTTTAAGTTTGAATTATGGTTTAAAAAATAGTGACACGTTAAAATTAACATTTGATATAACTAATATATCCAACACTTTATTTTCGGTTTTTTTTCAAATATTGCTAATTTGTCTTTTTTTATTCAGCAGGGATATTATTTCATGCCGCATGGAGTAGTGCATACATCAAAGAGGCCAAGTGGATGCCAGCAAAAAATAGCAAAAGAGGCAAGAATTAAATCACTTAAAATGCTTGCTGGATCCATTCTTCAATATGTCAATAGACCGGATGATGTCCAGGGTTCATCAAAAGACACTGCTCGTCATTCTCCAATTGATAAAGCTGATTCTTCTAATGCTAGCATGCATTCTGCGGAAGAGCAAGGAGTGAA